CCATGGTCAGGAACAAGACAGGGATGTCTACTCTCACCACTGTTATTCAACCTAATACTGGAAGTGCTAGCCACAGCAATCAGACAACAAAAAGAAATGAAAGGAACCCAAATTGGCACAAAAGAAGCCAAACTTTCACTATTTGCAGATGACATAATACTCTATATAGAAAACCCAAAAGACTGCACCAAAAATCTGTAGAACTGATACACAAAATCTGTAAAGTCACAGGTTACAAAAACAACATAAAGAAATCTGTTGCATTTCTTTTTTTCCCCCCTTTTATTTTTTTATAATCATTTTTTAAAATTTATTTTCAGCATAACAGTATTCATTGTTTTTGTACCACACCCAGTGCTCCATGCAATCCGTGCCCTCTCTAATACCCACCACCTGGTTCCCCCAACCTCCCACCCCCCCACCTCTTCAAACCCTTCAGATTGTTTTTCAGACAATCTGTTGCATTTCTATATACCAATAATGAAGAACCAGAAAGACAAATTAAGACATTGATCCCATTTACAATTATATTAAAAACCATAAAATATCTAGGAATAAATCTAACCTAAGAGGTGAAAGAGCAGTGCTCTGAAAACTATAAAACACTGATGAAAGAGATGAATATGAAAAACAAAGAAATGGGAAAGCATTCCATGTTTATGGATTAGAAGAACAAATATTGTTAAAATTTCTATACTACCCAAAGTGATCTACATATTTAATGCAATCCCTACCAATAGTATTTTTCACAGAGCTAGAACAAATAATCCTAAAATTTGTATAAAACCACAAAAGACCCCACATAGCCAAAGCAACCTTGAAAAAGAAAAGCAAAGCTGGAGGCATCACAATTCTGAGTTCAGGTTATATAACAAAGCTGTAGTGATCAAAACAGTATGGTACAGGCACAAAAACAGACACATAGATCAATGGAACAGAATAGAGAGCCCAGAAATGAACCCACAACTATAGGGTTAATTTATCTTCAATAAAGCAGGAATTAATAGCCAATAGAAAAGAGTCTCTTCAACCAATGCTGTTGGGAAAACTGGACAGCAACATGCAAAAGAATGAAATTGAACCACTTTCTTACACCATACACAAAAATAACTTCAAAATAACTGTCACCTAAATGTGAGACAGGAAACTACTAAAATCCTAGCAGAGAACACAGGCAGTAATCTCTTTGACATCAGCCACAGCAAATTCTTTCTAGATATGTCTCTGGAGGTAAGGAAAACAAGAGCAAAAACAAAGGATTGGGACTTCATCAAAATAAAAAGCTTCTGCACAGAGAAGGAAACAAACTACAAAACTAAAAGTCAACCTGTGGAATGGGGGACAATAATTGCAAATTACATCTCTGATAAAGGGATAGTATCCAACATATATAAAGAACCTATACAACTCAGCACTCAATAAACAAATAATCCAATGAAAAAATGGGTAAAAGACATGGAGAGACATTTTTTCTAAAGAAGATATCCAGCTGGCCAACAGACACATGAAAAGATGTTCCACATCACTCATCATCAGGGAAATACAAATCAAAACTACACTGAGATATCACCTCACACCTGTCAGAATGGCTAAAATAAAAAACACAAGAAACAACAGGTATTGATGAGGATGTGGAGAAAGGGGAGCCCTCTTGCACTGCTGGTAGGAAGGCAAACCAGGGCAGCCACTGGGGCAAGTATGGAGAATCCTCAAAGAGTCAAAACTAGAACCACTCTACAATTCAGCAATTGCAGCGCTATGTGTTTACCCAAAGAATACAACAACACTAATTCAAAGGATATGTGCGCCCTGATGTTTATAGCAGCACTATCTACAACAGCCAGACTACAGAAAGAGCCCAAGTATCCATCAACTGAAGGACATCTATACATAAAATGGAATATTACTTAACCTTAAAAAAGAATGCAATCTTGCCATTTGCAAGGATGTGGATGGAGCTAGAGAGTATTATGCTAAGCAAAATAAGTCAATCAGAAAAAGACAAATACTATATGATATTGCTCCTATGAGGAATTTAAGAAAAAAAGTAAAGGAGTAAAGGGGAAAAAAAGAGGGGGGGCACACTAAGAAACAGACTCTTAACTATAGAGAACAAACTGATGGTTATGGCGGGGGCTGGGTGAAATACGTGATGGAGATTTAGGAGGGCACTTGTTGTGATGAGCACTGGGTGTGGTGTGGAGGTGTTGAATCACTAAATTGTGTATCTGAAACTAATATTACACTGTATGGTAATTAACTGGAATTGAAATAGAAACTCAAAAAAATTCACTATAATACTCAACTGTGTCATCTCTACTACCTAACAAACTCCTAAGCTTCATTTGTCTATCTGTAAAGTGGACATAATAAGAGAGGTCAAATTCAGACCCATGTCTGGAATAGTTTTTTGGGGTTTTGTTTGTTTGTTTATTTCTTCAGTAGGTTCCGTGCTGGGCTCAACACAGGGCTTGAATGCACAACCCTGAGATCAAGACCCGAGCCAAGATCAAGAGTTGGACACTCAATGGACTGAGCCACCCAGGTGCTCCAGGAATTGTATTAATGTACAGGGACCAATTAACTAGTATCCTTGCTTTCAGCCCTTCACAGCTTCAAACTCATCATTCATGCTACAAGCAAAATTAATACCCTGAACTGGAATCCAAGGTCTAGGATTTTGGCTACACTATTCGGGTAACTTGGAGTCAGTGGTAGTTCCAGAATTCCAATACAGGATGGAGGAATTAGAAGACAGGACTAAAGAACTTGTCATGAAACTGCATTTGTATAATAAGTGCACTGATTTTACCAAAAGCATGTGTTTATTTGGGGTGGTTTGGTAGAGAAAGGAGCATCCTCTTAATACCACCTATGTAAGGCATTCAGGCTGCTATGGCAAAACATCACTGGCTGGGTAGATTATAAACAACAGAAATTCATTTCTCAAAGTTCTGGAGACTGAGAAATCCAAGATCAAGGCACCAACATGGCTGCAGTCTGAGGAGAGCCCTCTTCCTTTGTAGCTGGCATCTTCTCACTATGCCTTCATGTGGTGGAGGGGGCCAGGATGCTCTGTGAGAACGCTTACAAGGGCACTAATCTTATTCGTGAGGGTTCCACCTAAAACTATTACACTGGGCATTAGCATCCAACATATGAGTTGGGGGTGGGAGAGACACAAACATTTAGACCACAGTAATACCTCTAAGTTTTGTCTATAAAAGGGAAGTATTATAGTACAGTCCTCACAGAATTGTCATAAGAACTAAACAAAGTGTACTATGATGCATGCAAGTGTCTTGGTGCAGTGCCTGGGACAGAGTAAAGCACTAGGTAAGTTTATTATGATGTCACTCCTCTCCTCAAAATTCTCTAAATGACCCCCCTACAGACTACTGAATAAAACACAGATCCCTCCAACACCCATCTAGCCACAAACTACCTGCCTAGCTTCATCCCTTCCAGCATTCATCCAGAGAGTTTAACCATTATTTACAGGGCAATATCCCCGCCTGCCAACCTCACTCTCAGTTCTTCAGGTCTCTGCTCAGACATTTGCCTATCAGAGAGGCCTTTCCGGCTCGCCCTCTCTAAGGGAATGCACACTCACTCATTCCCTTACTGGCGACTTCATAACCCCCTTGCTGCTCTACTTTTCTTAAAAGCACTCCATAAATTTATAGATTTTGACATAAATTTCTGGGTCTTCCTCCTGGAAAGTAAATGTCAGGAACATAAAGATTCTGTTTTGTGCCAAGTTGTACATATATTCTCAGGTCCTGAAGAGTATTTAGCACATAGAGGTACTCGATAAATATTTATTATATGAATGTTGACATAGAATTTATTATGTTTCCTCAACCTAAGATGCCCTCTCGACATTGCCATCTTCCAAAATTTTACTCATTTTTTAAAAAGATTTTATTTATTTATTTTACAGACAGATATCACAAGTAGGCAGAGAGATAGGCAGAGGGTGAGGGGGAAGCAGGCTCCCCACTGAGCAGAGCGCCTGATCCCAGGAAGCTGAGATCATGACCTGAGTCGAAGGCAGAGGCTTAACCCACTGAGCCACCCAGGCGCCCCCAAAATTCTATTCATTCTTCAAAGCTGACTCAAATACTCTTCTGTGAAACTTCTGATTCTCCCAAGAAGAGCTCATTGCTCTCTCAACCGTTACATGATTATAATTTGAGTTAGCTCTCATTTTAGTCTGTCTTATAATTTTTCTGATCTTATTTTTTGCCTCTATCTCTAGACTGTAAGCTTTTTAAAGGCAGGATCTATGTCATATCTTTTTATCATACTCCACTCCAAATTCCCCACCCCTCACTCACTATCAGACAGTACCACATTGCTGCCACAGGGACATAATTTAAAAGAGGGTTGGAACTCAATTTTTGCTTAGCTATTTGAAGGGAAGAGTGAAAAAACAGAGTGAAGAAAAAAAAAAAAAAACAGAAGCAGATGCTAAATTGTGTGGAAGGGTATGGCTCTAGCAACTTTTTAAGGAGATCTAAAACTGCCATACCTCAGAAGGCTTGGAAGAGATATAAGTAAATTATTTCCATGAAAATCTGTTAATGTGATTACAGAAGTTATTAGCAAGCAAAAATTAGGAAAGTTTTCATTTTTCAGGAAAGGGAAAAAGTCTAAAACAATCTGATGAAAAGCAAGGAAAAACATCCCTAAGAAACCCAGTAGGGAAGTCGGGCTGGCTCAGTTGGTGGAGCATGTAACTCTTAATCTTGGGGTTGTGAGTTCAAGTCCCATGCTGGGTGTAGAGATTACTTAAAAATACAATCAAGAAAGAAAGGAAGAAAGGAAGAAAGGAAGAAAGGAAGAAAGAAAGGAAGAAAGAAAGAAAGAAAGAAAGAAAGAAAGAAACCCAGTAATTGGCTGGATGGCACCTTTTTGTTCTCATGTGGTCCTTTATGACATCACTGAATCTAACTGAATCACTATGGCTGATGATGTTATAATGGTCATCAGTGTATATTATGCTGACGATGCTTCCAGTGGAGCACCATATTAACTGATCCCAGAGTGATTCTGCTCTGTGACCAATTTTTTGGCTGTAGATTTTTTTTTTCCCAATTAAGAAAGATGTCCATTCAAGGACCATCCCTAACTTTTTCTCTGTTGTTTATCTGCTTCCTTAGGGAGAGCTGCTGCATTTGTGATGGAACTATCTGGACAAAGGTTGGATGGGAGATTTTTCCAGAAGAAATGCATTATCTGAAAGTTAAGCCTTCTCCGTCTCACTGTCTACCTTACCCTCTGGACAAACTATGTTGCAGTTTTGCTAATATGGATCTATTTCAGGGTTCTTTACATCTCATTTATATTTTAGTACAAGCTCTCTTTTTAATACTGTCTGTTTTATCTGTGCATTACCTGTGGATGAAATGGAAAAAACACCAAAAAAAGGTGAATTAGTGATGCAAATAGTAATAATTCTAAATACCATAGACTTTAAAACACAAGATTATCAGCTTCTTTGAGGGAACGTATCATGTCTTATTCCTCTTTGTAACATCTCCTTGCTCCCACCACTCACCCCCAAATATGTAGTACATTGTCTTGCACATATTTGGGGTTCAATAATGTGTATTGAATTAGAAAGTCTTTAAAATAATCTAGTTCATCCTCTCTCAAGTTACAAAATACATCAGGAAGATAATGAGCTACAATGAGTAGAATTGTTAAGAGATGAAGTTACCTGTTTGGGCCCATAGGTTAGTCACTCAATCTTTGCTGTCTTCACCCATAAATGAAGTGTCTCGACAAGGGATCTGTAAAGTCCCTTGAAGACCTACCTAAGAAAGCTAAGTATGTCAAAGTTGTCATGTATTATTTTTTCTTTTTTAAATAGACTGCAAACTCATTTCTAAGGTAAGGATAATATTCTGGGAAATGGTGCTCTTAACCTAATTTCCCACTTTGCCAATGGAACTGTATTTTGAGGCAATCTTAAAAGCTCATTGACTGGGGCACCTGGGTGGCTCAATGGGTTGGGCCTCTGCCTTCGGCTCAGGTCGTGATTTCAGGGTCCTGGGATCGAGCCCCGCATCGGGCTCTGCTCAGCAGGAAGCCTGCTTCCCCCACCCCCTACCTGCCTCTCTGCCTATTTGTGAGCTCTCTTTCACTGTGTCAAATAAATAAAATCTTTTTTTAAAAAAAGTTCATTGACTTTCACAACAATTAGGTATTTATGACATTACTAGGATTTGATTGCATTATATGTTGATGCACATTGATGATATGTTAGTAAAGGAAAATATTCTATTAATATTCAAGTAATTTCTTTCAGCAGAATGCTCTAACCATAAAAAGCACATATTAAATGCTCGCTGATCATGATAATGATCACTGTAATCTTAGATGATATACAAAAGAGCATTTCTTCTGCACTTACACCTTTCTTTTATAGTAACCTTTCTTTTGTATAGATAAATCATATGTAGTGTTTAGAGTTTAAGTGTACATATCCAGAAAACAAATGTAATTTGAATTACAGTAGGAAAAAAAATCTGTAATATCATCTGTCTGTCTTTTTTTAGCTGAAAAAACGAGCCTCCTCAGATACATTTGTTAAGGACCTGGAAAATCCGTCCATCTATGACATTGATCAAATACTCTGCCGGCTGGTGGCCACAACATCAATGATGACCAAGTACCTGAATCAGATGTCCCAGCATATTCCAGCTAAGAAAGTCAAGTACCGAAAACTGAAGAAGAGGAGTGAAGAAGGAGCCAGAGGATACTAGACCCATCTGTATGCTAATGTAGCCCAGTCCAACATGGAGGTTACATAAGAAATCTGTTGAAACAACTCATGCAAGGATAAAAATGGTTCTTTGAGAGCCTTTGTAATTTTTTTTTGTCACATACTTTACTGAACCTTTCCAAAGAAGTATGGGTTGAAAAATTACTTTTGTTAAAAAGGCATCCATACTTACTAGAAAAAGATTGTATACAATTACTTCTTCATATTTGTGTTTTTTCCTTTTAGTGTATTAGATTATTAATCATTAACCAATATATAGAATAGAATCTTGATTAAGTATTTCAATAAATCTGATTAAAAAAATATTTGTGGGGTGCCTGCGTGATTCAATTGGTTAAGTGTCTGACTCTTAATCTCAGCTCAGGTCTTGATCTCAGGGTCATGAGATCAAGCCCCATATTGGGCTCCACCCTGGGTATGGAAAGCTACTTTTAATTAATTAGTTAGTTAGTGATTTTTTTCTCACTTTCTTGAGTAGATTTTTTTGGCCACACAGAGACTTTTAGGTTCCCATCTCAGATTGCTGAAATAGTATGGAAATGTTAAGAAATAGGATAATTTTTTAAAGTATAAATTTTTCCATTTTCATTATGAGAAATGATTAAGTATCAACATTTTTAAAATTTCAGGCTTTGGTTGATAAGATACCTCAATTTTTAGAAAGTATTCTGGGCTTTTGTTGATCAGCCACCTCAATTTTTATAAGTATGGTTACCATATTTTCAAAAAAAACTGGGAGACCTGAGACCAGGATAGAAGATTTGATTTAAAACATGTTGAAAAATGCCAGAAAAACATGCCAGCTCTGTAACATACCTCCCATCAATATAAGGGGGAGGGGAAAAAAAAAAAACTTTTAAAACTTTTAAAAAACAATTCTCGAAGCAGTAATATATAACTCTACAGTCTTTACAAGTAACAGAATAGTGCCTGCTCTGGGTCATTGTGGATTATTAAAAGTTTATGAGTCCACTTTCCAGACTTTCCTCTTTACTTCCATTCTCCCTTAGCACAACCCTACTCTTGCATCTCCAAAAATGTCTCTTCCATCCTTTCAGAGTTCTGACCTGTCAACCAATTCCCTCTAAGAAAACACTGATACAAATTTCTTTTAATGAAAAGTCTCCAAAACTCAAAAATCCAAAGCAATTGATCTCTGATAGTGGAATTTTCAACAGTGTGGAGGAGACCCTTTTTAGGTTAGGTATTGGAGTAGACAGGCTTTAACAGGATGCCTGGAGGCCAGCAAAGGGGGAGTTATGGCTAGTGATTGGGAAAGTAGAGACTTGTCCTGACAGCACTCCAATAGAAATGAAATGAAAACACGTTAGCCTGGCATTTCAGGGACTTATCTGGCAGTGATAACAGCAGTAGCATTTTTCAAGTGCTAATCATAGACCAGGTCTTGCGGGAAGTGCTTTGTATTGTCTCATTTCATTTCTCACAACAACCCCATGAAGATTTTAAGTACCTTGTCCAAGGTCACATAGGTTTCAAAATGGAGACACCAGTATTTGAACTCCAGCGAAATACCTATGTACTTTTGCTTTTATGATTCCACTTGTGCTGTAGCCCTCCTTTGCAAATTATGACTTGCTAATATTCTAGTAAGACAATCTCATCCCTGTCCCCCGATATGCACTCTCATTCCCAGCCCTCGGGGTGTGTTCATACCCTGTCCCCTTCTCATGTATTAAAATCCCACCCATTCTCCAAGGCCCAGCTGCAGTCCAACATGCTCCAACTTTACCTTCTCTGACCACCCCCATAGCATGGACCATACCCTCTGCTGATTTTAACCCTTCTTGGTAGGCTTTCTGATGTTTTCATGTCTATAGCTTATCATCCCCCACCTAACAAATGTCCAGAGGGCAGGAACAACCAGGTGTACTGCAACAATGCTATACTCGTAGTGGGCATTTAATAAATGCTTGCTGAAAGCACAAATGCAAGAGAACCGTGCGAAATGAATGCCAGGAACTTCACAAATACTAGTTTTTTAACCAATGTGTGTATACATTCATAATTACACAGGTATTATCTCCCTGGAATCCCTAAACTATGTTCTACATGGCTGTGGAAATGAATTAACCAAAAAAATCACTAAAACTCAAAATAATACATAGCTTTTTGACCTTTGATAGCAGCATTAACATACATGCAGAAAAGTGCAAAAATTATAAATCTATATATAGCTCAATCAACTTTCACAAATGAACACACCATGCACCAGATCAAGAAAAAGAACACTACATCCTAGAAATTCCCTTCCTTCCAGAAAGATAACTGCTATTCTGACTTCCAGCACTATAATTTTCCCTGGAAAGTCATTTTAAATTATTATAACTGTATCTACCTGGGAAGGCAATATATGGTTCAAATACACCATTAAAAAAAGAAAAGGAATGGTCCACTCTGCCTAAGTCTCTCAGAAAATGGCCCTGAACATATAGCGTACATATATCCTTATAAGAAATTATTGATGAAACTGTTAGAAATTAGTCAATCAACTAACTTCCAATATGTACAGTTTCTATTGAGTACAATGTTTGAGGTCAATAGCAAAATAGAAAAAAAAAGCAGATTTCACACACTATCAGCAGCCGTGATTACATGTACAAATAAAACTTGATAAAAGCTGAAAATGCCTGAAAAACAAGACAGAGGATCATAGGGGAAGGGAGGGGGAAAATGAAACAAGATGAAACCAGAGAGGGAGACAAACCATGTGAGACTCTTAATCTCAGGAAACAAACTGAGGGTTGTTGGAGTGGAGGGGGGTGGGAGGGATGGGGTCACTGGGTGATGGACATTGGGAGGGTATGTGCTATGGTGAGTGCTATGAATTGTGTAAGACTGATGAATGACAGACCTGTACCCCTGAAACAAATAACACATTGTATGTTAATTTTTTTAAAAAGACCTATATCTTAAAAAAAAAAAAAAAAAGACGTGGTATATATACAATGGAATATTATTCAGCCATAAAAAAGAATGAAATCTTGCCATTTGCAATGACACGGATGGAGCTAGGAAATATTATTCTAAGTGAAATAAGTCAGAGAAAGACAAATACCATATGACGTCACTCCTATGTGGAATTTAACAAATGAACAAAGGAAAAAAAAAAGAGAGAAAGAGAGACAAACCAAAAAACAGACTCTTAACTATAGAGAACAAACTGATGGTTGCCAGAGGGGTGGTGAGGGGGGAGATGGGTGAAACAGGTGATGGGGATGAAGGTGTGTACTTGCGATCAACACTGGGTGTTGTATGGAAGTGTTGAATCACTATATTGTGCACCTGAAACTAATATGACATATTAACAATACTGGAATTAAAATTTTTTTTAAAAAGCTGAAAATGCTAATTGTCTCTCGATTTGTTGATGGTATAACCTATAACTCATAGGGGAAAAAATCCATCATTCAGTCCTTTTGCTACTGTCACCAGCTAGATCCCAAGAGCTGACCTTTACTACACACCTGCTGTGCTCACTAACCTCTGTCCCTATTTTTCCTTAAGCACTTCTTTCCAGCTTATCTCTTAACTCAGGCAAATGGAAATGAAACTACCCCTTAGGCATAGCAACTACCCTGAGGCCTCCAACCAGCCCAGACTACCCAGACCAGTTTGAGCATAACCCACGTCTTGTGCCTGCACAAAAGGGCCATGGAATGACCCCTAGAATAAACCAACAACTATCTTTATCTCACTCTAATACTAAAATCTCCACCAGAGGAGGACACAAGCCTCGTTTACAAAACATACAATGTATGTACAGGCATGTTGCCTTAAGGCGCATGGGGGACCTGATACTCACCTGTACAAACAATGATGAGGATCCCCTTTCTAAATACCCTAACCCTTAGTAAAAGAAGCCCATGTACCCTTGCTTGGGGAGTCATAGCTTTGGAAGTTGTTCTCTTCGATATTTGCTGCAAATAAAGTTTCATTTATGTGACAACTCACCTGGGGTAGTTTCTATCTATGACTTAACAAGGCGTGAGAACTCGTGCTACTTTGGTTACACTACCTTGGGGCTTCCTTACCTGCCCAGTCCAGGAATTCCACACACTCCACCTGGGAATACCGAGCAGCAACATCTCGAGCTCTTTCTTCCCGGAAATTCAACGCTTCTATATCAACGTCCAACTCCACTAGTGCTTTCAAAGCTTCCAGACGGCCCCAGGCTGCAGCACAGTGTAAGAGTGTGTAACCTAACAAGAGAATGAAGATGGTCAGGTCGAATAGGCTACATTGTTTCAGGCTTGTTTTACTGAACAGAAGATCATAATGAAGATCAATTCTTGAACAATTACTGTGAGTGAGGCACTAGTCTACATACTTTACACATAGTAAACTCATTCAGTTCATAAAAACCCTGAGGTCAGAACTATTATAATCCCCACTTCACAGATAAGGAAACTGAGGCCCAGAGAAGTTAAGAAGGAAACTGAGGTCCAGAAGCTTGCCCAAGGAATGCAGCCAGTGAATGATGGATGCAAGATACCAACACAAGCAGCCTTAAGTCTGAGCTCTCCAACTCCTTTTAAAAAGGAAGACAGATAGCAACCTCCCCAGAAGTAATCTATTTTGGAACACAATTAGACCCACAACTCTAGTCTAAGGGACTTTCAACAAACTCTAATTACATTGGCATTATTGTTAATGCAACCGTATGAATTATGATCACTGTATATGCCTTTGGTTTGAAAATTAATCATTTGAATTAAAACTGAAATCATGACCCACCAAATTAGAAAGTTGTTTTTTAGACTTGCCGTGGCAACTACTAGGAGGGTGACAAAAAGGGAGGCATAATTAAATTTTTTCACACTGGTTTAAAACAATCAAGTCAAAACTTCTTTGTTTTAACTTACCCACATGACTCATTTAACTGGCCAAAGAGGCATGTACTTCTAACACAAAAAGAACTGAGAAAAAGAATGAACAGATGTGTTGACTCTATTATGTACCAGACACTTTATGTACTACTACTTGATTCAACCCCTTCAAGAACCTCTGAGGTCTGTACTGTTAACCCCATTAAAAGACACAAAGGAAAGTGAAGGTCAGAGAGGTTATCCCTTGCCCAAGGCCACACTGGTAGTAAGTAGCCAAAGCAAAATTCAAATCCAGGTCTATTGCCAAATAAAGGGTTTGTAAAGAGTAGGAAACAGTACTTAAATGCTTGCCACTGAGTAGAGTAGGGAAAAAGAGAATCGTGATTCCTCCACTTCCTCCCAGAAACCTCTTCTTAAAAAAAGAAAAGAAAAGAAAAGAAACCTCTTCTT